TTGACAGGTATAAATGTTTGTTTTCACCTAGCATTCTTTGTTTGCTCAGGAAAGAATTGTTTCGGAAAAATTGATTTTTCCAGTATTCTCCAGTAGAAAGAGAAAGAAAAGAAAAGAAAATGGCCTTTTTCGAAACAATTCTTTCCTGAGCAAACAAAGAATGCTAGGTGAAAACAAACATCGCCATAATGATCAGCGTATCCGAATACCCCCGACTCGAGTCATTTCAGGTCGACCACATGTGCGGAACCGTGAAAACGGGTATCTCCGGGGCATGCCCGTAGCTCCCAGACAGTGAGTTCTAAAAATCTGCGGATGGTCTTAAATGAAAGAGGACACTTCAGTCTATCATACAAACGAAATAAAACCTCGGGTCAATATGTAAGTTCATCGGAATCCAACCCGGTCTTTCAAAGATCTCCTGGAAAACCAAGTTGAGAAATTTTTTCAAAACTTGTTCCCGCTTATGAAAGGGCGTCTTCAAGTGTCTTCTTTCTAATGGTGAAAACCGCAAGTCTTTATCTATCTCCAAAGCAAAACTCAAAAGCAACCACCGGCCTTGTGTTTTGGTATGGATAGTAGTTCTTGTGGCTGAAAATTATTAAAGAGATGGGTGACTATTTTCGAAAATTGTTTACTACAGGGGAGATATTACAGTATTGAAATTGACAAGGCTACGCTCTATACCGGTAACGGTACCCACATAGGGTGGTATTCCTACTTCTTTCTTCCTTCCATTTATGTGGGCGTACGATTCAACGATTAATTTCTTTTGCTGTGTCGGTCACTGTTTAAAACGTGTAAAAGAAGGATTTGAGAGAAAATATAACCATACAAATTGACAGGTATAAATGTTTATTATGTATATTTCAGCGTTATTTAATAACAACAAACAACAAAAGTGTATAACCAATGGAGCATATTGTTTTTGTGAAAGGTTACTTATTTTAATATTTGACATCGTAGAGTGCTTTTCTAATCCACTAGAAAATCGATTTGGCCACACAGACTATAGTCTGATCTGAAGAGTTTGCTTTATATTCATTCATCTCTAATTATTATAAGAATAAACTCCAGAACATGTCTAATACGCACAAACCAAAAGCACTCCTGTCTAGGTCAAAAACATTTGGAACATTCGACATCCTAAAGACAGAAAAGCATAAACCATTAACGGTGAGTAATTATGCCTTTAGCTAGCTGCTTTCTAGGGTGCATGGAATCCGTAAATATTAACCAACTCATACCGATGAATTTTTCAGCATAGGTTTTTCTAAGTAACACTAGTCTTTACGAAAAATTCTTCTTTAACCTACGAAAGAAGAAAGCGAGCTTGTGTAAACACATGGCGGGCTGTTATATTTTTACATGAATAAGCCTTTTTTCTCTATACATGAAAGCTTAACTATACCATAAGAGTTGATAACCACTTCTGTCTTAATACTATAACAAGTAGTAGCAATAAATAAACTCTAATTCTAATAGGAAGAGTAGTAGAAAATAAATACGTAAATACGAGTATAAAACTGCTACAAAATCTATACTTTAGCTTTATTCCAAATCCACAATATTTATTTTGATAACTTTTGAGCTTTTGATGACTTCTGTCATCATCATCTGAAAAACATATGACAAGAAAAATTGACTTATTGTACATATATAGAAAAAAGAGTTATTCATAAATGTGACTAGAAGGAAAAAGAAGGAGTGAGAACAGATATTCGCGAATATTTGATGAAGTTTTCTGATTTAGCATATTAATTACAGCGTGCACCGGTTTTCTAGCAATTGACTTTCGTAACTAAGGTGTTTGCCTACATGGCTTCATTCAAGAACGACATTAAATTTGAGCAATACTAAAATCAAACTATCAAATTTAATCCCTTCTTTCCCGTTGGTATGCATAAATACGATTTTCTGATTATTATATGCTATCACTTCTTAGTATGGAAAATAAATTTTACATCAGCCTAAAGCTTATAAGATGATGTAGATCTCAAACTAATACTTAACTATAATAATTATAAATAATTTTTCGACATTCAAGTCGATACACAAGAACACATCATAAAAAGCATGTCAACAAAGTCGTATCTTATTTCAAACTTTTGTATTATATACTAGGTGCCATTATTCGATGATCCAGAAATAATAACATACTTCTGTTATTAGGCTGCTTCAATAGATGAAAAATTCGAATATCATCAAAGATAGATCAAAAATTCCTTATGTACGTCTTTTTTCAGTTTTCACTTTCATTCAAGACTTTAACACGTTTGTGCCAAAAGTTTTCTAATTAATTCACAGTCTTCTCTTTATATAAGTACACGTGCTACTCGTACTTCAATTTTGCCGATCTGTGATCTGAAGGTGATATGAGTGCGTAAACACATATAGGCCCAAAAATACCATGTTCACGTCAGATCTTAGCATAATGATAGACGTTAAACATTATAGAAATAACTTATTACTAATAATCACACACTGCGCGTGTCAGCTAAGGACAGGTGGATCGTAAGCCATAGATAATATTTAGATACTATAACTGTATGAATTAAAAGTTATGAGTATTTAAATACCCACTTGGCACAAACGGGGTAGTCTAAAAATTTCAAGATACACAATTTTATGAGGAGCTTTTTGCTGTACTCAAAGTATAAAGTTGACTTTATTGTAGAACAGAAAGTGATTTTTGATGGGACAGTAAGACCATTGAGGACATTTTACTTTTCCACATTGTTCGACAAAAAAGAAAGATTGTTTCTAAAACTAAGCCAACTAATTGTAAAGAGAATTAAATTTTTAATCGAATAAGCAAATCCTTACTGCGATGCATACCTAAAACGAAGTATGTATTATTTCTGGATCATTCGATAAACTAATGTATTCTAAGTAAATTTAATTTCCGAATCTTCAGGTTCAGTCATGGAAAAGAATTACATTAAATCGAATTTTCAGAAATCTCTTTTCTTTTAGAAACAATCATCATCAGTCACATCATTTAATCATTCGTTTGATTTTGATTACAAACGTGAAACAAAAAATTTATACAAAATAATGAAACAATGTACTGTAGCACACACAATTGATATACAATACATCTTAAATTTTCTATCCTCTTTCGATAGTGAACAACGTTTAATTTTGGTAAGAGAATTAGAGTTTCAACATGATTACAAACTGGTCGATTCCATACTAGCTGAAAAAGATTCTCTATTACGTTCGTGTACACTAGCGTTAATCATGGAATCTGAAGAGTTGTATTCTAGAAATTTTCACGATTTATTACACAACGCCTATACAACACATTATCGTTCACTACTTGAAATATTATTAACAATGAATAAAGAAGATATGAAAAAATTCAAAGATTATTATAAACAAATCTACACTTGTTCTGTTGAAAGTGATGTCAAGAATATTGTAACAACACCAACAATCTTTTATAATTTAATATTAGCAATGTTAGAAGAACAACGAAGTGAACAAATCAGTCACAGTGCAACATCAGCCAAACAGATAGCAAAACTGTTGTATGAGGCTGGTGAAGGAACTCCAGGATTAGATCATGAAACATTTATTCAAACATTTGCAGTGGATAGTTTTTCTCAATTATCAGCTATATTTGATGAATATGAAGATAAATATGGTAAACCGATCAATGTTGCTATTAATCAAAAATTTACACATCAAATCGAACGAGAATCTTTTGAAGATATTATTCAATATACAAGAAATCCAGCCACCTATTTTTCAAATATATTACATAAATCATTGAATGAAAATCCCATAGACTATACATCGTTAATTCGAATTATTATTGGTCATTCAGAAAAAGATTTATGTGAAATTGCATTAGAATATTCGAAATTATTTGAATTATTAGAACAAACAATTAGTAAACAAATAGAAACAGGTGAAATCAAAAAATTATTTCTTAAATTAGTTACAAATGGTCATTCATCTGATATACAAACGCAACATAGCAATGGGCAGTCAAGTCATACAGGAATGAGAAGAAATCGTTCGCAGGAGGCATTGGATAAAGTTCTCTACACATTAAAAGGAATTCGACACCAGTAGGAAAAATAATCAAATTCTTGACGTTCTTTCATTTTTTTCTGCCTCAAAAAACTTATAAATTCTAAATAATTCGTATGATTATATAAGATAACTTTTTTCAGAGGTTGTAAGCTATGTACTTTATACTCAAATTTGAACACTTCTATTCTTGACTATAGTTCCATTACAACATTGGTATAACAATGAAACATTTCCAAGTGTGTTTTCAAGATTTTAACGAAGCATGTTGCGTATACTACAGTACAACGTGTTGATCACAAACATGATTGTCTTAGCTGTCAATGATAGATGGTTGTTGAGTTACGACGTTTTTATCCATCCAGCATCAAACAACTCCATAAATAATTTATTTTATTTTTTTATCACATAGTTAGAACCATTAAAATATATTTTTATAAAGAAAAAGTTTTGATACATTGTAGGAAATAATTGACAGTTTTTGAAAACAAGCAAGCTTGTAAATTGTTTTTTACAATAAACGTTCTAGTGGATTTTTGGAAAAATCTGGTGAAATACGAATGGTTTTTTTCCATAGATAGTATGAGCAGAAATTGACAAGTCCAAGTTCGGATTTGAAACTTTTTCTGATGGACTTAGCAGTTCGAGAATCTAAGTTTGACTTGTATTGGAAAGTCGACAAATTTGTCCATCTGAGCATGAAATATATCAAGTAAAATATTTGGTTTAAGCTATTTATTTAAATAAATATAAAGTATAGAGCTCTAGTGTTACTAATTCGGCGTTGCCATTATATAGTGAACACAAGGCCTGCAATATAGATAGAAAACAGCATCAAAAATTGAATGAATAAGTTAGTAAATTAGTTAGTAAACAGTGAAATTAATAAAACAGACTGATTGTTTTAGAATTACAGAGAGTTTGACTTGTATTGGAAAGTCGACAAATTTATCCATCTGAGCATGAAATATATCAAGTAAAATATTTTTTAATTCTTTGAAAGGGTATCGATTATTCTTAATTTGAAAATTTTAGATCATCCTCAACTTGTATAAGCAATATTTGAGAAGCTAATCTCAATTTCTAAAAAATGAAGTTAAGCAAATTTACTTAAATTTTTTGTTATTATTCAGTAAAAGTTTCATGTGACTAGGAATGTGTAGAAGTCATAGAAAGAATAATTTATTTCAATAATAACAGGAAAAAAACTGCGAAAAACAAAAAAGAAAAACGAAACATTTTCAATCAAAGACAGACACAATCGTAACAGTGAGAAAAAAACAGAGTAAGACACTGATTGAGAAAATAAAGAACGAACAAAAGTATTAGAGAACGATGATAGAGATATTAAAGACATCTGGCGTTTCAAAGATGGACTGAAAGTGTAAATTTTCTCATTTGGAACGATAGGATAAAATTAAAACAAAAACAAAAAGATCAAAAATAGAAATAGAAAGCTTATTTGGTGTAGATTTGATTATATTTTTCGTTAAACTACTCGGCGGACCTCGAAAAAACGTTTTAAATAAAATACTTGTCCAAATGTCATTGTCAACAGAATAAACGCTTCAAAACATGACCACAAAACAACACGTGAATTTGTATTTTCGTTGACTAAACAAATGACATAAAATATTTGAGCTTGAAAATCTTTTTTTGATAAGATACAATTTTAAGCTCCCTCTACCAATGCTTGCCACTATGACTTCCACTAGGACGATGCATGCTTTCAAAGTTTCTTTAGCTACTTTGACTAAACTTCATGAAAAAGTTACCATTTTCTATTTGCATAAATCTATTCAGCTCTAACAGAATTAGACTTACTAGATCGATGTATACGTTCTCGTACTTCCATATACTCTTGCTCATGTTTCACATTCGTTAATGTGGCAGATAACTCATCAACCATTTCTTCAAGTTTATTATGATGGGCTACAATTGAAGAAAGACAAGAAAAGTTTTATTACACAAAATCTTTTGTGGAACTCCGACGTTTACGCCATATTAAAAGAAAAGAGTGTAAGCGTATAGACGAGAAAGCTGTGGTTTTTACTTCGACTTGATCCCTACACGTACATAATCGTATACAATGCACGCTTAGCAGCCGGACTGAAATCTTTTTATCGGTTTTTACTAACTTGTTGCATTATCGGCGCCTGGTACACCTACATCGGGTTTGGGTGTTTCTCCCAGATCCACTGAAAACATAACCATTTTTGGTGTCATTGTTGACATTGTATTACCAAAACATAACGTGTAAGTACCATCCATAGGTGCTGTAAATGTAGATTTTCCACTTGATTCACGATCACCTTTATAAATTTCTTTGTTATCTGGCCCCGTAATCTTGACATCAATATCCAAGAAACCGCCTTCAATAACTTCGAATAACAATAAAAACTTTGTACCAGATGTCATTTTTTCAAAAAAGCATTCTTCCGAATGAGCATCAACAGTGATATAATAGCAAGATGCAGATTTTAATGTAAGAGCTAATATAATTGAAAATGGTATTATTGATTGCCAGATCATCTGAAATACTGAAGACTAATAAAATCTACTTAAAACAGAAAAAGCAGATCTAATGAAACTGGCAGACTCATACTTCCTTCTGCTAAAACAGACTTCCTTTACTTCTCGTGAATAAACAGTCTTAGTCTTAGTCTTAAACATTTTCATATCGTTCTTCTCAGCAGATTTGTCACAAAGTTTTCATTTTTTTCTGGCTTTTCCCCAAAGTTTTTTATCGTCATACAATATCTTGAGAAGTTTTTTATGATACGGCCCTGAAACGACTAACTTATTTTATTATTTGTCCAACCTAACGAAGGTACTAGCGAATCCAATTTCACAATTTTATAGTTAAGGAAGAATCAAGATAAGCTTTCATTAAAATTTCCTCCATTAAGCGCCAGTATCAACGTAAATCACATTGATCATTGACGCAATTATAGTCAAGATAATAGTGGTCAGAAGATTATTCACGTTACACTGAAGGAATTCTTTTTATTCTTATTTACCTGTATCTGTATTACTGAACTCATTTGTGGAAGGGAAAGTCTGAAAAAATATGTAAATAGATGTCATGCATAGTTGGCATCGACTGTGTTGTAGATGTATTTGATTGATTCTGCCTTTTCGCGTACGAGGATAACGTTCAATGACAAGAACAAATTTAAATTTTGAAACTTTACAAATCTTTCTGAAAATTGTTGTTTTCAAAATAATTCTAAAAAACTGCTCTTACCACTGTATGTAGGTAAGTCGGGACAAATACACTTATTACACCCCCCTCATATATCGACTATTTCAGTTTAAATAGCCTCTGCGGAGTTTGGTCTTGTGCTAAGAAGGCACACAAAGCTGGACAGCAAGGGTGCAATAAGACTGTTAATCCGGCATCTAACACTTGGTTTGAAAATCACAAACTTCCAATGCACTACTGCCTGGCTATCATGT